GCGCTCGGAACGTCTGACGGGGTTCGAGTCGCAGCATTGGCCCCATTCGGCTTGCTGAAACTTGGCTGAATTGGCTGAAAACACTATTCTGGCTGAATTGTTGTGAGAGAAAAACACTGTTCTAACTTAAAAAAAACTAATCGAATAATACGGATTATAAGATAGGCCGGGCCATTACCGTTTGCCCACCGGTTCTAGTAAAAAGGATTCCGGTATTCTCATCTCTTCTGTCCTCCCTTTCCCAAGGTAGCAGGCTGGACGTTCAATTTTATTTATTTTCAACCGACATGCTGGACGTTCAATTTTATTTATTTTCAACCGACATGCTGGACGTTCAATTTTATTTATTTTCAACCGACATGTAGGCCACGGCCCTGACTCCGAACACAACAATTAATGAAAAAGTCTACTTAACCCTTTCACCTTTCATACTTGGTCTATTTCACCCCCAACTAAAAAACCGTCTGTTTTACCCTCTGAACTTTCCAAAACCGTCTATTTTACCCCCGGACGGTTTTTTGACAGCGGGTTGCTACAGTAACAGCGGGTTTGCTACATTAGCGGTTGGTTTACTACAGTGCTGGCGGGTTTGAATTTCCTTTTTTTTATTTATTTTCGGTGAATTTTTGAAAAATCATAGTAAATCATACAAAAATCATAAAATAAAAAATCTAATTTTATTGGACTCCACGTGAGTAGATCTACACAGTGAATATATAATACGGTATGCTTTACTACAAATTTTTTTTAGCTTTAGATTAATTGGAAAATCCAATTTTTCTGTAATTAATTAGCAAAACCGCTGTTAAAAACCGCCCGGGGGGTAAAATAGACGGTTTTGGAAAGTTCAGGGGATAAAACAGACGGTTCCATAGTTGGGGATGAAATAGACCAAGTATGAAAGGTGGGGGGTTAAGTAAACTTTTTCCCAACAATTAAGGTGGTGGTTAAGATTCGGGGGTTCTATACATTAGAGTTGTCTTGACACGCACTTCAGTGTCTTGTTGGGTCAATTGATTAAGCGTCGTTTAGGTCCATTCCACTTCCGCGTAGCGAACGATTCGGCTGTCCGACACGGATGAGTCCACTGTCCACACGCCCACGTGCCGTGATTGTGAGCAGCACTACATGTCGCAAATATTGATTAGCGGTCCGCGTGCGGTGGTTTTCGCATGGCCCACTTTTTCTTCTTTTTTATCCTTATGACATTGTGTCTACGAGTCATCCACATCTCGTGTATTAGCATATATTATATAATTTTTTTTGCTTCTCGACTCTTTTCTTTTTTCTTTTTTTAGTTTATAGTAACCTATCAATTTTTTCTATATACTATAAACATAGTTTTTAGATTTACATGTTTGTCTAGAATAGTTAGCAAAGATCTTAGATAATAATAACTTATGCATATAAGTTATGTTATTCATAAAATTTATTATATAACAAAGTTATGATAAAAATTGTGGTGACAAATTTTGTTTCACAAAATGTTATACATTAAAGTTATGCGTATAATTTACAATTTTTTAATTCATACTGGATAGATTTGGACTTTAAAGAAACTAGATTTGATTGAATTGGACAATTGAATTTATTTACCTTTGATTTTAATTAGATTTCTCTATATAAAATTGGATTGTAATCCATTACCACGTCTACCTGCCAGCCCGCTCAGTATATATATAACAACAGAAACACCAGTCGGGTGTTTTTCTTTTTTTCTTTTTTGACGGTGACGTTGGGTGTTTAGGCTCTACTATATGGGCCTTAATGAGAAAGTCACTAGCACTGGCCGTGAATTGGGCCTATCGTCAATTACCAGATGCATTGTGCTTGTCATAACAATTACATGGAGGATTTGGCGCCTGAAAGCCTACTCTTGGGCTCTTTGCACCAACAGAACAAAAACACTATGCCAATGGTCAGCCCCTGCCCCCCTGGTGAAAGTTGTGCAGGCTATAACAATCTCTGTCGTCACTCTGTCGTCATGCTGATTAGTGGGAGATGGGCGATCAGAAGGGGGACGTAGAAGTGCTCTGAGGTGCATGGTTCTGAAACCTGTTCTGTCTTGTCTTCCAGTATGTAGTGTATAGTTTTCCAAATGGGCCGCCCGGCACGGCACGGGCACGGGCACGGCGAGGCACGGCACGGCGAGGCACGGCACTATGCGGCACGGCGGCCCACCGTGCCGTGCCTGATAGTGCCACCGTGCCGAAGTGGCAGCCCAGGCACGGCACTATGAAGTGCAAGCCGTGCCGTGTCGTGCCAGCAGGCACGGTGGCACGCCAGTGCCCGTGCCGACCCAGGCACTAAACACATTTTAAGTAGCACTTCATCAGTTCAAGATTGATGTAACAAGCATAATTTGGAATCAAAATTATCAGAAAAAGAACCGGAGAAACAAAAATAGAGCAAACACACAAGAGTTAAGAAAATAGGAATATGGGGTCCTCTGCGCCAGCTCCACCAGGTACAGCTCCACGGCCGAAGAGCTCTTCTACCTCTTCGTCGCCCATGTCGTCGTCGTCGTCATCACCAGGGAGGTCGCGGACCCTCTCCATCTCATCAGCCATGGCAGTGGCACTAGCCTCCACCGTGTCCTCAGAGACAGAGGGAGGCCGGGACGGCATCCTCACTTGCCCTGGCCTCAAACGTCTGCCAAAAGAAGAAGAAAGGAAGAACATCAGTCAAGAACTCAAGATTCAAGAAAAGAAATCAAGAACGGAGCAGATCTGAGCTAGGGTTAGGGTTAGGCTTCGGAGCTAGGGTTAGGGTTTCTTACCTAGACGTCGCCGGCGCTGAAGACGGCGCAGCCGGAGCTCCTAGCAGCAGCGGATCCGTGGATCTGCGCTGCGGAAGAGGGAGTGAGTCAGTGACAGTGAGAGAAAGAAGAAGAGCAGAAGGGGATGTTACCTGCATCGTCGGAGCTCCAGAGCTGCGGCTGCCGGAGGACGAGAGGAGGAGGCGGGGTCCGCGGGGACGACGGCGAGTCGCTGTCGCCCTTGGGAGGGGCCGTTGCCCTTCGCCACCGTCGTCGGAGAGGGCGAGACTGCGAGAGCCAGAGAGGAGAGGAGGGACGGAGGGAGAGGCGGAGAGCGTTAAATGATTTAGGGTTTGTGAGCGGCCGAGCGGGGGAGGCCGGCCGGCTTATATACGCGGCGGCGCCGTTGCCCTGGATCCAACGGCCACAATCCATCAGGGGGGGATCGGACGGCTGAGAGTTCACTGGATAGCGGGCCGTTAGAGGGCCAGGCCTCTTTACCGTGCCGTGCCCGTGCTGGCCCATGGGCCGAATTGGCAGCCCAGGCACGGGCACGGGGGCGGGCCGTGCCAGGCATGGGCACGCAGGCTGCTGGGCCGGGCCGTGCTTTCTCGGGCCGTGCCTTGGCTGGCCCATCGTGCCCGGCCCATCTGGAAAACTATAATGTAGTGGTATATGTGCTTCATGCTTTGGCATTTGCTCTCAGAAAACACACTGAGCTGTACTGGCTTTATTATGTACTGATGCAAATGCAATGGACCGGAGCTCGGTACCTTGAACTCTAAAACGAAACAATTTTGGATCCTTGCAATAATCTCGCCCATTTCAATATTGCAACATCAATTATTGCGAGAAACTAGATGAAACTCAGCGCGTTGCTGCGGTACCTTTTTTATTATTATGATGTATAGAAGCATTTGTAGAGTGAGAAATGCTAAAATCACGAAAGGACGTGTGTGTGTTTAGCCTCATATACAACATAAAGAATTTTATGATATGAAAAATAATCTCCCGTGCATTGTTCACTACTTGTTGTGGGAATGAGGGAACAATTTAGATTGCACTTGTAGATGGAATAAAATTCTATAGTTATCGTTATCTAATCAGCCACCCCTAATCACGAAGTGCAGCAAGCTCTGTTTGTACGGCCAATCATCAGCTCTGACGCTACTGCTGGGGCGTGCGGATGGTCTTGCTGTGAGCGCGGCCAGCAGTACACGACGCTGATGCCATCCTGAGCTCCATCTGATTCTACTTGTGCAGCAGCGCGGCGTGGTGCCCCTCGCCCTCCGCTTCATGCCTAGGCGGATGCTCGCCTAAATCATGATGGCTCCGACGCTGCTGCTGCGGGTGGTCTTGCTGTGAGCGTGTCCACTGGTCCACAGTGCTGGTGCCATCCTCAGCCCCGGTGCCCGCACCCATGACCATGAGCGTGTCCACTGGTCCATAGCATGTTCATTTGGTCGTATTTGGCTTATGGCTTATCAGCCAACGAACAATATTTCTCTCTTACACCAAACCAACCAACAGTAATTTCAGCTATGGCTTATCAGCCAAATAAGCCCAAACGAACAGGGCGTTGATAAGCAGAAACGACAGGAAAAGCAGGCCTGCTACATAGGCCAAGCAGAGGGCTGAATGACGCTGGTGATTTATGCAAGTTTAAGGGAGGCGATTTCAGTTGGAGGAAAGCAAACTGACAGAATAAAAATCCACTTGACGGCAGTTGCATATGGTGGTGGCCAAGTGGTGCTACAACTATAAAAATCCACTTGACGGCACTTGCTCTGTAGTGGCTCTGTAGTGCCGATCGTTTGACTGCTTAGATTGTGGTACGCGCAGTGGGGAGCGAGGGTGTGTAAAAGATGATGACGTGGCTGCACCAAAAGATAGGAAAATCACGTAGTGGAGTTCTCCTATTTAGGTACAGAAGATAGAAGATAAAAGAATAGTGACACTCAAGAATCAAGACATGGGGCAAGTACACTGAAAAGAAATTGAGAAGTACTGAAACTGTGTTGGTCACAAGGGGTAACTGAACTCAAAAACTCAATATAACTCCCTTGGCACAGTCAGCGCCATGACCATCATGAGAAAGGCAAACTGATGCTATCAAACAAAAAAAATCTGTGTACTATGTATACATACTTTCATAGCATACAATTAGCCCAAGTTAAAAATGGTAGGCTACTCATATTTCTCGACAACTCTAATGTACAGTGACTCTATCAAGTGTCCACACTCATTTCTGAGCCTTGATCACCCTTTCTGGCTCAAAGCCCTTGGGATATATTAGCACTGAATCGACGCACAGACCGCCTTTTGTATGAGTACAGTCGATTTGAGCTAGTGAGAATTTCAGCTTGATTGATTCTTCTGAGCTTGATGCAACGAAATCGCCGACGTGGTACAAGATCCAGCTTCCAGGCTCATCTAAGTAACACTGGGACACGGCGTGCTGGCCATCCGATGTGGAGAACTGGAACCGTACAGGCTTCTTGTCCCAGCCATGGACTTGCTCCGAGCTACAAATACGGCGGCCAAAACGTGTTGAAGACTTGCCAAGATGAAGCCTGAAGTACAGACTGTAGGTCCCTGCAGGGAAGCAGAAATCGACCTCTCCAACCACCTCAAACCACCAGATTTGCTGGAGATATGCAATGGACTGGAACCTGCAGGATCAAGAACAGAAGGCATGGCTCAGATTATTTTCACCATATAGAATGCAGAACAGTGTGTACGTTCTCCAAGTTGGAAAAGAAGTTAATCAACGACAACAACGTGTTGACAGTTACTTTATTAGTAAGGGCCACAACTACCAGCTGTTTTTTTTCTTTTTATTACAAAAATGAGGAGTACAAAAAAAAACAAGCCATACGATCCGCATGACCCTCAGACATGAGTGCAAACGTGTTTCTTAGGTGTCGCCACGATGGACTGGTATTTGTTTAACTCATTGGATGTGACCATACCAAAGAAACGCACAGGTTTCCCGTATTAACAAGTAAAAAAAAAGAGGTAAATCACACGCACGGATAATTCCGGAACAGTCATAAATTTATTTGTGCCTTTTGTCCAAAAGAAAATAATTTATTTGCACATTATCTGAAGAAAGTTTCCATTGTCCGTTAAAAGAAGTATACCTATATAGCTGACCATGCAAGGCCAGAGAAATCTAGTGGTCAGACGTTCAGACGGTACTAAAAATCACGACTGAGAGAACTGTTGAAATTTCAGACCCACACACGGTGCTGTTCTCTACCAAATATCTCCTGTCAATTTTTGCTAGCGTCCATGCTTACCTCATCAGTGTAGCTGCTAGCATAAAATTCATTTACGAATTAAACTTTTTTCATTAATACAAGTCAATCATAAAAGAGAATAAAAGGTTTCATTTTACTCCACTTTTGCTATTCTCAACTGTCGCAACAAGACATTCATTACAATCCGACAATACACAAGGCAGAGATGTCAGCAAACCTAACTGTTCGTCGAAAACAAGAGGGAGAGAAATTTCAATATGGTAGAAGTAGAACAAAGGGGGGGGGAAAGAAGTGAGTTCATATTTACCTAGATTCAGCCTTTTGTAAAACAGGAGGTTGCTCTCCTGTTGTATTAGTTAAGTTTTTCTAATAAATTCCAGTAAGGGCCTGCCCCTACTGTTTTCCTCAAAAAAAAAAGAAAAAAAAATAAGTGAGTTCATATTTACCTAGATTCAGCGATTGGCATGTTAATCCAGTATCTTCTATCATCAATCCCTGTTATGACCAGCGCTTTCGACGACAACGCCATGCAAATCCCACCTTTACTCTTCTCCAACCAGAATTCCTGCAGCACAAAGCAGAAAAGTACACGTTGAAAAACTCCTCTGTGAACAAAAGCACGTGTCATATTCAATTTTGCTTGCCTACAAAGCAAGAAACCTCATAGTAATACTTTTCACTAGTCCATGGTAAAGATAGTTTTTCTTATACGAATTTTCAAAGTTCCCCAAGAACTGACAATTTCGTATGTAGAACACAAAAATCAAACTCGAAGGCCGGTAACCACCTAAGCAATTGAAATTCGATGAACCGAACTTGGACGTCTTTCTTTGCAAACAAAAATCAATGAGAACTACCATAAACCTTCTCTTTTCTTGGAGGAAAAAAAAACTTCCTTTTGCATCGATTTAGTAAATAAACCAATAATATATATTTACAATCAATCAACTCATAAAACTATCCATGTCCAAACTCCTTAACAGTGGAGAAACAAGCTCTTGATGAACATCACGAAATGGAACGAAACCGATCAAGCAAAAGGTAGAGAAATCTCACCCTTTTCCCACCATCAAACGGCACAGGCTTGGCGAGCCTCGCAAAGACGTCCTTCTTCCCCACCGCGCTCCAATCCCGGCCACTCCCTCCCTCCTCCGCGTCATCGACGAAGCGCAGGAGACGGCCGTAGTTCCCCGGCAGCTTCGCCTCCCACACGAAGTCCGCGGCCGCGGCGCCGTGGAACGCGCGGTTGAGCCGCGCGAGCCGGCATATGTCCGGCGCGCCGAGGCGGAGCAGCACCTCCGCGGCGCACAGCTCCGGGAGGTCGCCCAGCCCGGCGCGCGCGACCTTGCCGCCGGGCTCCACGCCCGCCAGGTCCGACGCGCCCGCGCCCATGCTCCCTCTCGCCGCCTCCAGTCGCAACGACCGTCTCTCCTCCGTAGAAAAAAGCGCGCCTTTAGTCCTTTACCGGACTCGCGCGCGCCGGTAGCCAGCAGGGCGCCGAATCCGCTTCCAAGAACTCGATCCCGTGTCACTTGCAGAGCAGCAAGCGCGAGGTGGAGGCTGCGACTTTAGTAGGTCCTTGCAGTAGGCAGAAGCTAGGCACCGGATGCGAAGAACTTGGTTCCGAGGCAAGGCGGTTGAGGAATTCGTTCCAGCTGCTCGTGCGGAGAGTGTGCTTTGGAGTTTGGAGCGCCAGGGAGCCACAACCCAGAGAGGGAGAGGGACGTGGTGTACGAGAGGAGCTGGAGGAGGGAGAAGGGAGAACTGGAGAAGTGGGTGCGCATTTTATGTTTGATCTCTGACTACAAACTCCCTGAAACGCAAAGCAATTGCCGGGTGCTTCTCTGAACATTGACCCAGTTTGCCTGCTGTACTAGGAGTTTGGGTACCAAAACTGCTGAATTACAATTCTTGACTTGACAAGGGGTTATCAGAGAAATATTTATATCTGGTCCTCCTTTTTCTTTAAAAAAATTAATATGTCTGAATTTTTAAAATATGTCTGGTTCTGGACTTTAGGGATTCTTTTTCAGCACATAGGAAACAGTTGAGCTTCAGTTTCTTTGTTTGGTGAGACAAGCAGCTACCTAAGACCTACGTATACCCCTCCAATGTAGCTCCTCTTGAAACATAGTTGGTGTTAGGTATTTTAAGCATCAGATGTAGCTTTCGGCCACAATAATTAAAACAAAAGCAGGCACTTTTTTCCGGTCACTGCAATTAGTTCTGCTGATCTTTGCTCAGCTTAAATACTGAACAAATTAAAATACTGATTATTTTTCCGTCTCGGTTGTTAAGGTTTGGGCCGATCCTAAAGTTCATGGAGCACGAAATCTAATGAAGCCAGAATCTAACGAGCCCATTATTTGTGCATCGCTTGCCGTGTAAAGAGAGCTTTTTTGTGTATTTTTTATTATTTTATATTATGCAACAATTAGCTTTAGCCAATCTTGATTGTTGCCTTTCGGTCCTAGCCACCCAATTCTACTTTTATACCATGTGCAAGCCTAGAATGGTCACGCTAACCCTTACTTAAAGGATTTTTTTAATGTTTTAATATCGTTTCTTACGACAATTATAAAAACATCCCTCTAAGTTACACGAATTCAAATGATACTGAATCAACATCTAGTTTACTAAAAGTTTTTTTTCCTGTTCGGTCGTTTTAGACGAGCGAATGAACAAAATAGTTTTCCACCACCATGTTGTTAACTATGCCATTGGATCCATCCTTTGCGCCAAAAATGGATTAGCCATATATCTTGATTTATTACTTTTCGGCTACTGTGGTCGCACACACATTTTCCATCAGGAGGGAAGCAAAGAAGTACAAGGACACGAAGCCATGTTTTAGTTTTGTTGGTATGATCTTGCCCATTGCCCTAACAATATGTCAAAGAACGCCTACACTGTATCCATGCATACTCCACCAGCGGTGGAGGGTGAATGGAAACCGAGGATGGGCTAATTCCAAGACATGCATGGGTTTCCATGCTCTTTTCTCTTTTTTCTAATCATGGGATCTGTCACGGTTACTGTTTCCTGCAAACTTTATAGAGCATTTTTATTTTCTTTATTAGAGACGAGGGGGCCAGTGCCTGTTTCGTCTGTAGGATGCTCCGCCCTCTGTACTCGACCACACTAGTAGCATGTTCGCTTAATGGTTTCAGCCAGGGCTTATCGGTTTCAGCCAGGGCTTATCAGTCAGCCAACAGTGTTTTTCTCTCACAATAAACCAGCACTAGCCGGGCTTATCAGGCTAAAAACCAACCAGCGAACAGGCTCTAGATCTCTGATCTGATAACTCATACATGTTATATATTCCATAGCCTTATGTCGAGCATGGCAACAATATTACACTTTCTTAGACATCAAATGTAACATAATAGCCTTATGTCGAGTATGGCAACAATATTATCATAGCATGGCACATTTGATCTATTATCTGTGGGCCTACCTTATGTAAACGCCATGGGCTATGAGTCTATGACTAAGCATTTGCCAAAAAGAACAATTGCGTGTTATGCCTATAATAGCCTAATCTAAGACAAACATGTCAGCAAGGAATTTTAACATGGCCGGGATAAATTTGTTTTCCACACGATGGGGGAGAAAAACCAACCTGGATAATGCTAAACCCTGCACGCATACTTTTCATCCCCCGGCAACACGACCAAGCACCATGTCTAGTACCATTTACTAGAGATGATTTGAAAATGAAAAGGAAACAAAGAAGTGCATCATGCACAACTGCCACAGAAACACAATTGTCCTAGTCCTACCAGTAATTTAGCACCAAGAAAGTTCCCTGCACTTTTGGGCCCTACCAGAAGGGGAAAAGATACACAAATGGACCTTTCCCTTCCTCCACTTGCACTTTTTGCAGTAATCTAATCACCAACAACGCTCTGCTAGCTCCGTAATCCCCAATCAGATTGCAACCTGTCATTGCCTGTATCACGCGTGGGTCCCCTGAGTGGATAAATGCCCTGTTCGTTTGACTGATAAGCCATGACTGAGAGTACTGTTCGCTGATTTATTGTAAGAGAAAAATATTGTTCGTTGACTGAAAAAAGTACGACTTATAAGTCAAACGAACGGGTCAAAAATCGAATCAAAATATCGCCGTGCCATTGCTCAGGTGCGTGGATCCGAGTCAGCACGCACCGGGGCAGCACACGTGGCGGCGTCTCAGGGGGTGCACAGGTGGAGGGAGGAGATAACAAAGCGCTGGTGCTGCAGAAGTGCAGAGTGTGGTTAGGCCTTTGATTGTGTGGCTGTAATTCAGGGGCGAGCTAGCTTCTTAGCAACGGTTTTGGAGTGGGGTTAGTGCTTATTTGGAGCTTTGCTGCCAGTGATACTACTATAGTGGAGTACACAGAACTGATTATGCTTAGTTTAGGGCAAGTGTGTGGGACCTCTTTGCACTATTAGTATCCAATCCAACATCAGCGGGGTGTTAAGCTGATGGCAACTGCAGCATACTTGCTATTCTTTCTTTCTTTTTTTTGTCATAATAATATACCTAAATGTACTTCACGTTTAGATACGTAGGAAAAACTATATTTAGAAAACTAAAAATAACTTACAATTTCAAATGGAGAGAGTATTTTTAGGAACCTGAGATTGCAGACCAACTTCAGTACGTGCCGCCACATTTCGTGAGGGAAGATATCTTGGGATTGGATGGATTGTAACCTGTGACTGACTAAAGGTTCGCGTGTATTACCGTAAAAAAAAGGTTCGCATGTATGGAAACGCAGTGCACCGTCTTGTGGCCATTTGTTTGTTTGTTTTAAGTGGCTGCAGCTGCAGCTCCAGATAGCTGGCGGCTGGCCGGCGATGTGCAGTTGAGTTCGTCTGTCCAGGGCAAGGCTGCTATGATTGAGGCGGTTGTGGCTTTCGGTGTTGCAAACATTCTCTGGGTTGCTGAGCAGGTGCCCGATGATGAGTCAGCTCCGAAGCAGATACGGTCGTAGCCAAGGAAAATGAAAGGGAACCAATGCCTCTCATTTCTCCATGGATGTTCTTAAACTGGAGTACACTTTTGGCATTACTCACGTACTACGTGGTACACATGAGTAGGGTAAAATAAAAGTAAAACTATGGATGATCAATTTTGGTGTTTGATTGGTAGTGTCTCCTTTTTTTCCATTCACTGGGAACGCCCTCCCCGCAGTCCGATCGGTGTGCTGTCATGGGACCCGTTCAATTTTTGACACTAGTCAACCTTGTCCGTGCGACAGGAGGCCGGGAGCGTGTTCTTCTTCCTTGTCGCCGCTGACGACCTCACCGAACACCGGACCTTGTCGATGTGAATCAGACGCTGCCACTGGTGGGTTTTTTTTTGAAGAAACAGGAGGGTCTTGCGCCCCTACTGAATTTATTGAAAGAACCAGGAAACAGAAAGTACAGTCAATAGTCTTAAGATTACAACCAGGGAGTTCAAGAAACAAAAAAAAAAGAGGTGAAGAAAATGAGCTCAATTACACAAATTGATCTAGCCACTGGTGGTTGTAATGCTCTGTAAAGAGGCTAGGAGCAAGCTGGGTTTTTTTTTATTTCACATTTCTAATTCTCACATTGCTACGCTAATAGATTGGACGGAAACTGGACCTGTAAAAAACAGATGAATTTCAAAGTTTAAGGCGCAGAATCCTTTCCCCTGTTTTCAGTTAGAAGCTTAACATTCAAAGCTGAAACGAATTATTCATATTCACTGTTGTCAGTTTTTTTTTTTGGACCGAGAGTTCAAAGCCCAAATAAGTGCCGGTAAATTCCCAAACTCTTAACTGAACGTATTCCCCAACCCAAATTGTCGTCGTTGGAATCTACTTTTCAGCTATGGAATGGTATTTTTCTCTCACAACATTTCAGCATAAACATCAGCATAAGCCAAATTTTAGTATAAGCGAACAGGGCCTAAACTAATTGTCACATGATTGGCATGCACGAACTACCAATACAGTACTACCTAGACCTAGACACATTCCTCTGCTCAGTGCTCTCTGCCTCTCTGGAAAACATGCATGCTTTCTGTTTCTGGTCGTTGAGTACGGGTGCGTAAACAGAAACAGTGTCGGGCCATCGTCAGCTTCCAATCATGCCGACGGCCGCTTATCTGCCCGCCGCCGCCGTCGCCGCCTGGTGTGCAGTGGTGCGGCTCTCGGTGAGTCGGTGGTGGCTCCACAGCGAACTAGCCAGCCGAAGTGAGGAGCTGGAATGGGATCGTGTGGCACTGGCACCTCACTTCGTCCACACTCACCGAGCACTGAAATGTTGCCTAGTAATTCACAGATGGTCTATAAGAATACGATAAAAACTGTTATAGACGATGTTTCTTATATTGTAGAGGTGGCATTTGTTATTTATGTCCACATATTGTTCATCCGTACATTTAGACTGCCTATAGAGACAACTCACGGAATGGCTTTGTCTATTGTGCTGTTTGTATAAATAGATAGATGGAACCATATTCCAGACAATAGTCATCGCTGTACATGTCCTTAAAGATGAAGAAAAATACAATCCTGAATGTCTTTCTTTGGCAAGTACACCTTTATCGCTCTTAATTACAAAAATATTGTTCAAGAGAATCTAGATATAGGATATTGATGGTTTATTGAACATGTGTATCCAAACTGGCACTCATCCATGACAGAGGCACAAGACTGGAATTTGTAGTTTTCAGAATTTTCATGTGCTGGGTACATAACAGACTATGAAAAATGTTATCTCTTTGACTTAAGGGAGTCGACACTCATCTACAAGTGCATGTGCTTTCATACTTGGCCAAAAACGCTCCAAAATTATTAATGTTCTCAATCTCAATTCACTTTTCAGTGATGGTGCTACTGCGAGTATGCAGTTTTGTAAAAGGACTGCAGGCCGTCGTTCTGCAGGCGCACCACTTCACTGCTGATAAGTGATAACTTTGCAGATTCGCAGCCAGCCATGCTGCAGGCGCCAGCGATAGTGAGCCTGAGACTGATCTTGATGCTAAACTTTCTTCTGTGATCTCCACTTGGCCTGATGAATCCATGGCTTCTAATCCAATCTCTGGCTGCCAATTGGTAACAAAAGATGTGGCAGCATGGAATCTGCGAGCAATGGAGCCAATCAGTTCCTACAAAAGTTTATGTATTGAGGTGCTACGTTGATGTGGCCTAGGGTACCTATGATGAGGGTTCGAGTTAGCCAGTTAGGAGATTAAGGGTAGGATATGTTACAAAAATTCTGTGCCGGGGGATTATAGGCTAGATGTTTTGCTTTTTTATGAGAATGTCTAGTCTATATTTCCTACTAAAATTCCAAATTGCAATCCCCTCCGCCAAATGCTCCCATGGATTTGTTTTTAAAAGAATGCTCCCATGGAGAAAGAAACTCTGCACATAATAAGAGCATGAAAGCTATAATGGACTCAGAGACGGTCACACCAAGCGCCTGCCCAGACATCCACGGTGGCAAAAATACAGGAACCGCTGACTATGCCCACACCAGAGCCAGCGTTGTGTAATGCAGAACAACTTTGCAAAGCTATAGGAAACCATGATATTTGAAATGCCAGACTCGAATAAATTTCAACTGGTTCAAATAGATATACGTAACTTGGCACTCAGCCATGTCTTGAAGACAAGTAGCGATATAATTTGTAGTTAATAGGTATTGACACATTAGCTAAGTTACTTTTTAAAATGTTGATCACAAAGCATAACAAGCCTGGTCTGAGATGAATGCTCTGTACTGCCCAGAATCTAGATTTAGGTTCCAATGGCCAAAAAATTATGACAGTATAGTTATGCTCTTGGATAAATTTTACGGTAGTGGTAGCGCTAGGGCATTCGGACGGACGTGTGCGTCCGGACGCCCGCCACAAGGGCCCACGTCGGCCCGAACGTCGCCCGCGCCTTCTGACCCCACATGGAAATTGCTCTTGTCCCCTCTACTTCCTCCGCGCGGGCGCCTGCTGCAGCAGGTGGGTCCCAGCAGCAACATCTGATCTATTTTTGAAACATTCAGACAAAATATTTGCAAATATACATCTAAAGACAAATAAAATACTTAAAGCTTGTGTCTAAAACACTTGCAAAAACACCTAAAAACACTTGTAATATCTAGATAAATACACTTGCAACATACATTTAAAAAACAGATGAAACATTTGGAACAAACGCTTGCAACATACGTGTACAACCATTGCAACATATAAAACATCCCGATCTACTTTTGCAACATCCATATAAAACACTTGCAACATACATCTAAAACATCTGAAAACACTCAAAACATACACTTGCAACATTCGCTTCTAAGCGCAACATCCTGCTTGCTGCTTGGAAGAATGGAGGCTCGGTGTAGGGCCGGCCGCGCATACCAGTAGCATGCCGGAGGCGGTACCAGCAGCGGCGATGTGCCGGCAGATATCCGCCCCGGTGAACACGTGCAGGAGATAGAGGGAGGCGAGGCGGACGCGGAGGTAGCATGGCTGGCTGCGTGGAGGGCCACCAGGGACGGCTCACCACGGTTCATGTCCTATGGCCGTGACGAGCAGGAAAAAGGGGGCGACAGCGAGACTTGCTCGGCGAGCATGCATAGGGGGGACTATGAGCCTGAGGCAGCGTTGGTGGAGCCAGGAGTGGCGCGAGAGGGCCAGAAGGAAGGGAGCAGCGACGACCGGGGAGCTCTAGGCTCGGTCGGCCCTGTACGCGTGCACGAGCAGCAACTAGAGAGGGAGAGAGAGCGGCTCGACGAGAAAAGAGGGGCTAGCGCCGCATCTAGATCCAGTCGGGTAGTTTCTCGTTCTCCCCTATTTATTTGTGAGGTCCACTAGAATAGGAGCGCGCGAGAGAGAGGGGAGTAGGCATATTGAGCTCCGCAACTCAGGAAGCCGCGTCCGGAGCGACGAACACCCTGAGAAATGCATTACCTTAAATTTTAAGGCAAAAACCCCATAATAGCCTAATAGGTTATTTCCTTGAAAAGCAAATGGTTAAGAATGGTGGTTGCACATACCGTTGTACATCATTGTTGGTGTAGTGGTGTGTAGATTGCTGCACAGAGTACTGCCAACTTATGTTTTCAATTCTAGTGCATTTCTGCAATGTTAAGAAAGTTGTAGTGATATCGCCAAACAATAATTGTTCAAGGGTCATGAGGGATTCAATGCCAACTTTAGGACCTTTGACATATTGTAAAGACTGACAAAGAAAAACTTCGCAAGGTTTGGCATAGCTCCTTTTATCTCTACTCGCTTCAGATTAGGCAGATCTCTAAGATAAAGGGTCTTCAACTTGATAAACCGCCCAGTACAAAAGACTAATTCATTCCCAATTTCCCATTGCATGTTTTGTATAGAAACACTTTGAGTTAGATTTGGGAACGTAGAGAGGGATTTCAAGGGGCTTTCACTCAACCGGGACCAATCTAGATGCAATACAGAAACACATTTTGCAGACTTTTTGATGAGAGGAGATTCTAGAATCCCTATTGGTGATTTCCCAGTCAAAAATAGTTCCTGGAGTTTAAGTGTTGGATGTTCCCAACTAGCCAAGTCAAGCACAAATTATGTAAAGATTTACAAAGCTGTTCACAGCAGACCACTTTCATCTTCCATATCCTTATGCTTCTCAGCTGCCTCAGATCAGCTAACCGACAGAGAGTGCCCTCTTGTGCTTCGATGCCATGCAGCGATTGCAATTCTGTTAGATTGCCTAGTCCTCTAGGGATGGACACACCATTATGACTCTAGAACTCCCTCAGAATGGATTAGTTACCTTTTCACCAAGCAAGTGCCTTAGCTTCTTCAAACCTGCAATCCCTTGAGGTAGCTCCTTTATGTTTGATCTAGAAAGATATAGTGTAAGCAAGTTCAAGAGCTTCCTGATACAGTTTGGAACCACCTTTGAATCACGCAAACCCAAATAACGAAGGTTGAAGAGTTCTCCAACAGATTCTGAAACCTATGATAGGAATGATGGCTTTGTATTACCAAATGAAATGATGGATCGAAGGTGTTTATAATAGATGAAGGAAATGAAGTTTCTTCCGGGAACTAATATACAGCTGGTTGCCTTACATCATTTTCAATATAATGATGATATTTATCTTCCATGCATGCAACACCAAAACATTCCTTCTTGCACAAATAAACCTCCAGCTCACGAATAGTGTTAGTGTCATCCACTAGAAAAAAATTGGTCCCGCCAAATGAGTTTCTTTCAAGCTTCAACAAGTTAAGAATAGAGAAATATATGTAGAAATCATACAGACTAACAGACACCGAGACACATGATTGACATATTAAAAGAACAGAGAGAAAGAGAGTTCATTCCAGGCGACACAACAGAGCAGTTGTAGCACAAGAATTGCAACCAGCCAAATGCCCACACCAGTGCAGAGCGGGGCCCTGTTCACTTGTCTTATGAGCCGTACTGTTTCAACGAAAAAACGGTATTTTTCTTTCACAACAAATCAGCGAACAGTACTTTCAGCCATGTCTTTTCAGCGAAGCGAACGGGGCCACAATCTCAACGCGTTTACAGCTACTGCTCAAGTATAAGCCAACGAGACTACAATGGCTCTACACTACACCCCGGTGCCACTCCTCCTCCGCTTCTTACGTGGCTCCTCCAGCCTCTCCCCCGCCCCTGTGCCTGCGTCGCGGCGGAAGGCATGGAGCTCGGCGGCGGCCTTGGCTGAAGAGACCATCAACGCGTCGGCTTCAGCGGGTAGTCCCGATGCCTCCAAGGCGGCGAAGGCGCGCGATTATCCGTGCCGTCTTGCCTAGGTCTTCTGGCTTCCAAGACACCACGACACCACCTCGCCGCTCACCGCCCTCGTCGCCGCCGCCGCCGCCGCTCCACTTCGCTTTTGTTCTCGTCAATGTCTCGAATCAACACACTTCTCAAACAGAACAAACTGTCTACTTTCTGACCCACTAGCCCAGTTTGTTAGTGGGCCCAGAACTCTTGAAATATTCAATATGGGCCTCTGTTCGTATCAGGCCTACTTCCTTAATTAAACAAGCCCACGTGGATTTTACCCATCTTACCCACACCAATCGTATAATTGCAATCCACGGCTCCTCTCCTCTCGCCCCTCTCCATCTGCTGCCGCTCCGCCTCGTCTAGGGTTTTGCTCCAAACCCTAGCCCCCCGAATCTCCGGCTCCATGGACGTCGAGGGCGAGGTCCCCGCTGCCGCGGCGGCGGCGGTGATGAATGGCCTGGGCGGCGCGGAGGAGGCCTCTGCGGCGCCGGTCTCGGCCGAGCAGCTGGACGTGGAGGCGTACGCGGCGCAGTACTCGGGCCGGACCCGCCTCGCGCGCCTCCTCTTCATCGCGGACCGGTGCGGTGTGGAGGCGATGCAGCTCGAGGCGCTGCGGATGGCGTACGACGAGATCAAGCGCGGGGAGGACGTGCAGCTCCACCGCGACGTCGCCGCCAAGATCGGCGGCCGCCTCGGCCCGCGCTTCGGCCTCGACCAGGCGTGGGTCGACACCGTCACCCGCCGCGCCGATCAGCGCAAGGAGAAGCTCGAGAACGAGCTCAATGGATACAGGGTGCGGAAACCCTACCCCTTTACCTTTCCTCGGAGTATCTGCCGTGTAATGGCATGGTATTTACTTGTTTGTGACTGTGGTTGATTTACTTGCCTTGTAGTTACGGTAATAACTTACTGTGTGCTTAGTGTAGTTTACTGACCGTTGGGCTAATGCCTGTGAATTCGTTCGCTTAGTCCTATATAGTCCTAAGCACTGAAGATTATAGCGTCACATTTCTTGTATGTTTGTGCTTTGCTAACTTGTGATTACAATACATTTTGTGACTATATTTATTATTGGACATATATAAAACAATTCATTTATCGTATCCCATATATGAAACTAGTTGTGATTTCTGTTTTGTGTTTTCTTTTGTGGCCTTAAATGGGTGTATATCTCCTATTCTAAGGTGACACGTGCTTATCACGAAAATGTCCTTTATGTTTACTCTCGATTAAACCTGAAACGGACCCCTAGCATCTCGTTTAGTGACTGGGCGACCAATAAAACTCTGGACACATCTAGGCGGTGCATGTAGGCGTGAGGCAGTGCTTAAGCAGTGCAGAAACGCAAAAAAAGGGGTGGCATGGCTGGCTTGGTGGGCTATCTGTGACCGCACGTGCTGGCGGGCAGCAAAAAAGCATGCGGAAGAGCCAGGGAAAAGGGAAACATGACGTGTGGGGATCAAAATTACAAGTCCCTTTGCAAGAATTGGAATCAGAATTGCCTGAATGTGTTACAATGTCTTCTGAGATTGAAGTTGGGAATAAAAAAGCACAAACGCTTAATCGCGTTTAATCTACCTAGCGCCTAGTGCCTAGCGCCTTGCGTCTTTTGGAACCTTGATACTCTCTAACCTCCAATCTACAATGATTCTCTTACTGCAGACTAACCTGATCAAAGAGAGCATCAGAATGGGCTACAATGACATTGGTGATTTCTTCTATGTCCATGGCCAACTTTCGGATGCCTTCAAAAGCTACATCAGGACTCGGGACTATTGCACCACTTCCAAACATATAGTTCAGATGTGCATGAATGTGATTCTGGTTAGCATTGAGCTGGGGCAATATGCACATGTTTCAAACTATGTCAGCAAAGCAGAGCAAACCCCAGACTCTCTGGATCCTATCATTGTCGCAAAGCTGAAGGCAGCTGCAGGATTAGCCAACTTGGAAACAAAGAAATACAAACTTGCTGCTCGTAAGGTTAGTCATCAATTCCTCATCTCCACAAAAGAAAACTTTAACTTTCAAGTCCATTTTGTGCTTCAAGAACTCCAGCATCGACTGATCATGACATATTTGTTTATCTTGATACTTGTGTGGTTTTATGTTACTTGTGTGGTTGTTATGTTTGCTCGCAGTACCCTAGTTATAAGGTATCAAAATAAGGTCATGATTGATCTAACCCTTTCCATGGAGCTTCCGACATGAAGCTGGTTGATTTGTTCTATTCGATTTTGTAGGAATTAAACACTTCATACGATGTAAGATAATTTTTAGTATTTCTTCAATGACTCTGCCGGTACCTGGAGTTGTGTTTACTTTTAAGTTAAATTATGGTTAGACATAACGATGTTTTGCAACACTTGTAGTCAGTGGCGGAGCTTGGACCTATATCTAGCAGAGGCCAATCATTAAAGAACAAGGCTAATCTTAAATTTTCTTTTGTCAAGCCAAATGGTTGGAACTAATGTAGTTTAAGTTCAGGGGTGGCCATGGCCCTGCCACTGCTTGTAATCCTATCACATCTGGATAGATATCCCATTTTCAGATATAATGGAATATCCCTCTCTAGTTCTCTTTTGTTGTCTACCATGTAGGGCTTCTTACCAAGTTATGTTTTCCCGTCTAGTTTGTTGAGACAGGAATTGAACTAGGAAACAACTACTCTGAAGTCATAGCTCCTCAAGATGTGGCGGTCTACGGTGCACTTTGTGCACTTGCTTCTTTTGACCGTTCAGACCTGAAGGTTTGCCATTTCAGTACTTATTTGTCTAGCGGAACATGTTCCATTTATGCTGCTGTTCTCAAAATGTGATTGCTTTCACATTTTTCCTAGAGCAAAGTCATTGACAATATCAACTTCCGTAACTTTCTGGAGCTGGTGCCTGAAGTAAGGGAGCTGGTTAATGATTTTTATGCAAGGTATGATGCTATCAGAATAGCCTTGTGTATCATTGACAATCTCTATCTTATCAGGGTTGTTGATTCTTGCACTTATCTTGTGGTAAACAGTGCAGCCATGTATGCTCTGTTAAAATAATTACTCGTAGTGCATTTTATTTTAGATATGTTTCTATTTCATTCCTTTATAGCAGAATAAATCCCATCTTGGTTCTTTTCTTTAATTGCAGAAACCAGTATTAACATTTGGCTATTCAGAAATATCTTAGTTCTATTACATTTTTTTATCTCTTTTTTAGTGAACAATGGCAAATTAAAACCAGTGAAAACTAAACTGCCTAGTTGTTTCCATAAGATGAGAGCACCACTGAATTTCATTATCTAAGCAACTGGCATTCTGCCTCATCATGTTTCTCTACCCTTCCTGTACATAACTATTCTCTCTGCACAGAAAGGACTGCAGAATATATATGGGTAGTGTTTTATTGATATTCTACTGCAGAAAATTCTTTTCCCCTTCTGTATAATATATTTAGTATAGATTGATTGATCTAAATAGTAGTAAGCGAATGGGAGGCCACCACACCTTGTAGCAGTATAGGTGCATGCAGCTTTCGAAGCGCCCAACAATTACTATATATGAATAACCATGAATTGAAAAGCGCTCAAGTATTATTTCATATGAGAACATATTGCTAGAAATTGAGTTACTACTAGTTTGAAGTTGCACTTGCAAAAGGTTGAAAGGAATTTATCTGACCTGAGGAAGCAACTTGATTGGTTCATCTAGGGGGAATAAACAATTTTTTCTTGGTCTGCTACTGTGACCTTCTGTAGAACTGCTAGAGTTACCAGATTTGCCTGCTAAACTGGAACATTGAATTATGTGTTTGTATTGTTAATGTAGAGCTGTAGACCTTCTATACCTTCATTATCATCCATTAGCAAGTTAATCAATACTGCAATTTAGACTGAGACTTTTGGTTTTGGGTGGCCATCTCAAATATTATGGATCATGTGAGTTATGGCGGGAGACTTTGGAGTCCAAAGGTTTTATACTCAGTAGAACTAGAGTATATGAGATGTGTGACTTCGGCGCTACTACTCGAGAGGAGGAAGATATTAGTTTGGAAGGTCAAGTAGTGCCTAGGAAGGATACCTTTCGATATTTAGGATCAATGCTACAGAGAGACGGGGATATTGATGAAGATTAGTCATAGAATCAAAGCAGGATGGATGAAGTGGCGCCAAGCATCTGGTGTCCTATGTGACAAAAAGGTACCACAGAAGCTAAAAGGCAAGTTTTATAGGACGGCGATTAGACCTGCTGTGTTGTATGGTGCAGAATGTTAGCCTACGAAAAGACGACATGTTCAACAGATAAGTGTCGCGGAAATGCGTATGTTGCGTTGGATTTGCGGTCATACAAGAAGGGATCGAGTTCGGAATGATGATATACGTGATAGATTAGGGGTAGCACCAATTGAAGAAAAGCTTGTCCAACACCGGTTGAGATGGTTTGGACATGTCCAACGGAGGCCTCCAAAGGCACCGGTGCCTGAACCTTGATTGCTTCTGCTGGGTTTCAACTCTAGCCTACCCCAACTTGTTTGGGACTTAAAGGCTTTGTTGTTGTTGTTGTTGTTGTTGTTGTTGTAACCTTATTGTAGTTAGCATTTATATCATTTCTAAAGCTGTGCATTGAGCTTTATGCAACCGGCCATTTCTTGCTGCCTTGTTTTACTGTATTTTGTTTGAAGTTCCTTTTTTTCTGTTACCTATTTAACAATGGAAATTGCCATATTCCAGTCGCTATGGATCTTGCTTGGGCCATCTTGAGAAGCTAAAGCCTAACCTGCTCCTGGATATCCATTTGCACGAGCATGTAGAGACTCTTTATATGGATATTCGCCACAAAGCGATCATACAGTACACACTTCCTTTTATATCTGTTGATCTCAACACGATGGCAACTGCCTTTAAGACTTCTGTCACCATGCTGGAGAAGGAGCTGGCCGCATTGATTACTGAGAACAAAATACAGGTACATCTCAGAAGTTGCTCATTCTGAAATTTGTGTGCATTTTGTGCGTTGCTTATAACTGAAACCTTTGCAGGCCCGGATAGACTCCCACAACAAGATCCTCTACGCTAGGCATGCTGACCAGAGAAATGCCACTTTCCAACGTGTCCTTCAAACGGGCAATGACTTTGAGAGAGATGTCAAGTCCATGCTTCTGCGGGCCAACCTCCTCAAGCATGATTACATTCAGAAGACGAGTGGATCAAGGAAGATGTAACTTGCGAGCATTGCTGCTAGACACGGCTTCCTGCCTGCCGCCCTTTTTTTGGAAGAATTGTTCTGGATGTAAAAGGTGCATCCATGGCCTCGTGGAGGTGGCCGAAGATTGTCTAAATGCCTCTCCCTCTTCATTTTGGTTTCTGAATCTGAAAGTTCTTGTTGAGGTAATGGATGGTTGAGCATCTGGAGATGTGATGATCTGTCATGCTCATTTTGTGGGCAAGATTTAGTTTTGAACTCTTAAATGCTTGGAGGTGGTACATATGAGTCCAGACAAAATTGCTCGGTGGTTCATGGATATTTTTTTTAAACTTGTCTCGCCATATTGTTTCATTAACGCTTGTGCTCCACTGATGCATCGGCATCCATGGTTGACGCTGCCAAAATTTAATTGAGGCCCATGTGGCGACCTGCGCCGTGTGGGTTTATCAATGGTTAGTTTGTGCTACGGTGTTGTTTAACGATTGTTTGATATGGGTCTTCGTGATGCGTTGGGCTTAGTACTTTCAGTGAGGACTCCATTTTTTTTAATAACCCACTTGTGGTCAATTGGAATCTTGAGAACGTGTGCAATTCAAAGCATACACATGTTGTCAAGAAACACACTAGCACTCTGGTTAGCCCTTGTTTAGTTCACCAAAACTTCCAACTTTAGCACTATGCAAAAAGAAGATTCTCCGTCACATCAAATTTGTGGTACATGCATGGAGTACTAAATATTGACGAAATCAAAAACTAATTGCACAGTTTGGTTGTACTTTGCGAGACGAACGTTTTGAGCCTAATTAGTCAACGATTGGACAATTATTACCAAATAAAAACAAAACGCTACAGTGCGCTACAGTGCCAATCGAATTCTGCCGGCGCCAACTCTGGGGTGAACTAAACGGGCCCTTAGTTGAAGGCAAGTGGTGGTTGCGCGTTGGCGCATTTGCGTGTCCACGGGTTCGAAGGCGGCGCACGTTACACAGCCATACTGACAAGACAGGCAAGACGAGATTCCAAATCTCAATCGCACTGCTTGGTTTATAAGCCGTACTTCTTTAGCCAACGAATAATATTTTTCTCTCATAATGAATCAGCCAACAGTATTTTCAGCCATAACTTATCAGCCAAGCGAACATGACGAATAATTGCGTTGCATTATGTAAAAGAATGAATCAAATGAACAGGAGATAAGATCTCAACGAGACTCTACAGTTCACAACCCCATCAAAGAAGCTATCTACAGTAATAGTACCCTGGCCGGAAGGAATACATTTGTGTGTGTATGTGTATGCATGACAAGTTGGGTAGGATATACGAAGAGAGAAGAAAAAAAATGGGTGGCAACTCGTGCTGCTGCTGCTGGATGATCAGTTGGTGCAGTTCCATATGGCGGTGGGCACGCAGCTGAGGTAGTGACACCAGTGGCAGCTGTCGTTGGCGTTGGCGCCGCGGAAGACCATCGCCATGCCGACCGCGAATCTGCAGAGGAAACAAGACAACACACGCAAGGAATGAGTTCACGTACAGCTTGAGCGTGGTTGTTGAGACCTCGAGACTTAAAATATGAGTAAGTGCATGTTAGTCTTCTCTAAACAAAACGACATAGAGTATCGTGCACAGCGTGGCTGTCAACACGGTGCACCTTGCCTAGCTAATAAGCTAGTGAAGGTTGGTTGGTGAGGAGAAAAAAGAGAATCCAATCCAGGCACGTTACTCCTGTGCTGGACAAAGCAAATGGCCAGCTACGCAGGCTTACACTATTGCCATGTTTAGTTACTCTAAAACTTCTGAAAAATACACTATGTAAAAAAAAAATTCTCCGTTACATCAAACTTGCGGTACATACATGAAGTACTAAATATAGACGAAATCAAAAACTAATTACATAGTTTGGTTGTACTTTGCGAGACGAACGTTTTGAGCCTAATTAATCAACGGTTGGACAATTATTATCAAATACAAACGACATGCTACAGTGTCGCTACGGAAATTTTGCCTTTCCAAAATTTGGCAACTAAACATGACCTATATGATAACATAATAAATACATCAAGATAGATTGAGAGTGACAGGCAGTGACTGCGAGAGAGGGTGCCCCTTTTCTCCTGAATCGTGCTACTCTCTAACTGGCTGCGGGCTGCCAATTCATCACTTCACATGATGATGATACTACTCTAGAGCCCGGGACGCAAGGGCAACATCACTGTTGCTTCGTGGCATTGGTGCGTTCGCTGGTCTTGAAAAATCAGACCAGTCGGCTGCTCCTCTCACAGGTACTCAGTCACTACACTGTTTCTGTCTCACGAAACCAACCAAGTTTCCTACCATCGAACGGGGCTGGCCACCGCACATCTCATCAGACACGTACGATTTCTGCCCAAATCTTTCACCGCAGTCGCAGTCAATCGGTGTACTACACGCCTTGATCAAATGGCGTGATGCGTGCATGATATGCACGTGGCCAGTGAGCTGGTGATTCATGGATGCTTACCCGACGACGAGGAGGAGCAGGGCGACGGCGAGGAGGGTCCACTGGTAGGCGAGGTACTTCCTGGCGGTGCAGGGCGCGCCGGCGGGGAGGCTGTAGCGCTCCATCCACCCGAGGTGCGGGCGCATGAGCACGACGAAGCCGAGGAGGAAGCCCGCGAGGAAGCCGCCGATGTGCGCGAAGTTGTTGACGTGAGGCAGGATGCCGAGCACCAGGTTGACGGCGGCGACGAACAGGAGCGTGGCCACGGCCGCCGCCTTGTTGGTGTAGATGGTCCAGTTGGTGAGCAGCTCCGAGAGCATGGCGCCCAGCAGGCCGAAGAGCGCGCCCGAGGCGCCCACGGAGATGTGGTTCCGGATGAAGAGCGACGACAGCACGGCGCCGCCTAGGCCGGACAGGACGTAGATCGCACCGATTCTCACTGCAAAAGAACAATTGGCATGGCATGGTCGATCAATCAGCATGGCATGCAGCCTGCAGTTTGGTGTTTGCAAATGGAGTGCTAGCTGCTGCACTCCATTGGGGACGACAATGCAGAGAAATTATTGGGGTAGGTAGGTAAGGGAGCTGCTGCTCTGCTCTGGAGTAATAATGTAACAACTCACCGTATCCGAACTGCTGTTCGAGGCGCATGCCGATGAAGAGGAGGCAGAGCATGTTGGCGACAAGGTGGAGGACGCCGGCGTGGAGCCACATGCTGGAGAGGAGGCGCCAGCCCTGGTGGTGGTGCACCACCTTCTCCCAAACCAGGGCCCCCATCTTGGTGAGCCTGCAATGCACAGCACAATGAAAGTACAGGGCGTCAGGCAGGCATGCCCCACATCTCATCTGGTGTGATCTGAATAATATCTCATCTGATCGCACAGCACATTCTCGTCTCGTCTCGTGCACGCATGCTGTTGCTGTCAGCCCAGCCCCACTGGGAACTGATAACTGCAACTGATCCAGCTAATTCCGTCTTGTCCCACAGTTCGGCTAGGCTAGGCTGTATGATGAGATTGAACTACTGCTGTGGCCTGTGTGGCCTACCGCACGTTTTTCTAAGCGATCCATCCAGTCGTACTCCACGAACTCCTGCTGGGTACTCGTAAATCATTTGGAAGTTTTGTACTGATTGGAGAAAAAAAGAAGTTTTGTGCTAAGGAAAACAGGTTGTAAGTTGTAACCAAGTCACGCATGAGTAATATGCAATGACAAATCTTCCCTAATGCATAGAGGCAGAGCTCTGGCCGTCTGGCGTGCTATGAAGAACATTGCAGGCAAGCAAAGGAAGCAGTGATAGATTCTGTAAAAGCATAACAGAATATAAACAGAACCAGCATGTCTCCGATCATCGCGTTCGTGAGTCCCCGATAGCTAGACTAGATCCGATGCAGCAGATTGCAGAAGCCAGCCAGCCCAGGAATTTGATCCATCGATCGGTCCAACAGAAATGATCGACTGAGAAGAGGGAGGAACGAAGGGATGATCATACTCACGTGGCGGAGGATGGGCCGAGGAGCGGGTTCTGTCGCAGCGGCTGGAAGGAGAAGCGGCCGAGGAATCGGGCGACGCACTTGCCGTCGCGCGGCGTCGTGTGCGCGGGGCAGTTGTTGGCGTACATGGTGATGACGAAGACGGTGATGTTGGCGACGAAGAAGACGGGGACGATCCATGGCACCCACTCCCGCTCCCCCTCGTGCTGCGGGTACAGCGGCGACGGCACCTTGCCGGGCTCCTTCCTCACCACGCCGCCCTTCTCCACGTCCGCCCGCGTCGCCATGCCTAGTGCTGTGGTGTGGGTGGTGGAGTTAGGAGGAAAGGACGGCGAGACGTGAGGAGCGGCGGGGTGGCAATAAATAAATAAACGCGCGAGCCGGAGGAGGCGCGGCGCGGCGGTTTTTCTTTGAATTCCCAAGGGCAGGGCAGGGCAGCCAGGCAGGGGTGGCGCATGGCTGGCTGCTTCGGTGCAACCGTGTTGTGGTGTGGTGTACCAGCTGGACTGGTGTGGAAAAAGAGTTTGGACGTGCGTGCGGCGCCTGCAGGTAACCTGTAAAACTACCTGCTGCCAGCTGCTTTGACTTTGAACCTATCAAGATCGATGTACCGTTGTGCTGTCGCGTTTACGTTTCCAGCAAAAGCGCCTGCCTGTGGTGATCAACCTCAGCTGCTGGTTACTGCTACGGACGGAATAGCATGGAACGGTGGTATAACCAACGATAAAACTGATGTGAATTCCGGCTGATCAATCAGTGATTCAGTGACTAATAACACAGGCCCGGCGTCGACCTTAGGCCATGTTTAGTTCCACCAAAATCTAGACTTTGGCACTATGCAAAAAGAAAATTTCCCGTTATATCAAACTTGCGGTACATGCATGGAGTACTAAATGTTGACGAAATAAAAAGCTAATTGCACAGTTTGGTTGTACTTTGCGAGACGAACGTTTTGAGCCTAATTAGTCAACGATTAGACAATTATTGACAAATACAAACGAAATGCTACAGAAATCGGGCGGCGCCGAATTCGGCGAACTAAACGCGGCCCTGGTAGGCGCTGGTGCCCGGACAGCAGCGCCTGCCTCTTTTTCTGGCAGAAGCTTCAAAGCACATGCATGACCTCGTCGGCGTCTACGCTTGGCCCAGGCCCAGGCTGCATCCGACGATCAATGATGAGGAAGGTTTTGTTTAACATTGGAGGAGGAATCATGCCAAGGTCTTGCCGGACCGTTTTTGCAATTTGTCTAATGGGTCGTATCAGCGGCGATGGATGTGATTAGATCTGATGATGGAGACAGGCAATGATGATGCGACGACGCTAGTGCACGCAGCAGCGGTAAAGAATTTCAACTACTTTTGAGCTAGCCACTCGGTTTCTGGAATTCCCGGTTTCTTCCCTTCCCTTGCCGTTCCCGACCTTTTTCTTTTTGTGCCACACCCCACACTGTATGTAACCCGGTTGGCACCGACAGGCCCGTCGGTGGGTGCACATGTAGGAGGAGTATGTAGCATGAAACATGCATCCAATGCCTTTGTTTTTTTTGGTCAGTGCCTATCTATCTACTATTTACTTAGACTATCTCCAACAACAACACCCAAAATACAAGACACATTCGTCCTTTAAATAGCGCTACAGGCAAAATGTTCGATAACTATTCGGCATCTTCTCCAACAACAAGACCCAAAAGAAAATCCTTTCTGCAAATATGTTTCTAGGAGAGAGGATGCCCATATTTGAGTTGTGCCTCTCAAGTAACTCAAAATAGTTCTTTCGTATAGGTATTCCGTTGAAGATTAATTTTAGATTTCTTGCTACTTATTTTGAATTTAGGTGTGCATATGGATTCTTTATTGGAGACTGTCTTATGGGAAAAGCAACGCACCCTTGTGGCCTTGTCTGCTCTTTGCTGCCATGGTCAGGCTGGCAGGCTCATGGAACCTGTGCGGAAACGGCACTCCCGCCGGTCTACGCGTTCGTGCGTGCGTGCAGTCAGCGAAGAGCGATGGAAGCGGGACCCAAGAGAAAGAAGGAAGGGAAGGCCTCCTGACGAAAACGAAAGGAAAGCGACGAGACTGCACTGGAGAGCCCGACCGACGAGGCGACGTACGAGAGAAACGGCCGGCCGCGGGTTTGGGCGTTTGGCTCGGCGGCCTCGGCACCTCGCCCGCGCGCGGTTTGTTTCCGCGTCTCCCGGTATCGCGCCGGCCCGTCGGCCATGTGCTCGGAATGATCCGTCGTCCCAGCCGCAGCCAGCGCCAGCGGCCTCCATTTGCCCATTTCCGTCGCGTGTAATGTCATAATACGGTATTAATAATGACAGTAGAATAAAATGGCGATTCCGGCTGGCCTTAACCAGGCTGAGTTGTTTATGCTGCTCAACTTCCACGCCAGCCTGCTGATTCTGCGATTCATCAGTGCCCCCACATCCAGCCTCGTATAGTTGAATGATTGAACCATTGAGGCCGCTCCGCTCGGATTGAATCGCTTTACTGCTTTTTATGCCAAGCACCGAAACAAAGCAAGCGCACAAAAACTCGCACTGTTCGTCGTTATTGCGAAACAAAGCAAAAGTTCTCGAGGGAAAACGTAACCTAAACTTGGCAAACTCTACGCCAAGCGAGTGAGCTGGCCGTGTCGTAAATGTCTGACCGGCCAATTCAGTCAAATATTTATCGGACCACGGACCACCAGCCATGCCATGAGAAATTGGTGCACACCTACAGAGAGCCAAGGAGAATTGGGCCGATCTCGGTGAGGGCAACACTTCGTTCTTTCGCCTCTCCATCACCAGTAGAAATAGAAAAAACAGGATTTCTTATTTGCGGAACACCGATGGAACTCATGCCACCACCCCAGATCAATTAGCTCACACCCTTCAAACTTATTTCCGAAATATTTTTAGCTCTGAACCTAACCATCAGATTTCAAATGACATAGGTTCTACCGATGACCATTCTATTGCAGAACAAGCAAATGTAGGTGAAGACGCACTACGCTACACCAACTCAGTGCCGCAGATACAAGAACTTCGTAGCATTGTCAAAAACATGAGAAGCAATGCCTCCCTTGGACCTGATGGACTCAATGCAGCATTCTATAAATCAGCATGGCCTTGGATCTCTAACGATATCCACACTTTGGTAAGTGATTTCTACACCTGAGCCTTTATGCATCCTGAGGTAAACCAAACCTTTATTGGTCTAATCCCCAAGAAAACGCAACCCATGTTACCTCAGGACTTTAGGCCCATTAGCCTCTGCAATGTCATTTATAAGATTATTGCTAAATCCCTTGCCAATAGACTTAAGCCTCACCTGCCTGACTATATTGATCACTCTCAGGCTGCTTTTATTAAGAACATGCACATATCTTCCAACATCATCATCACTCAAAAAATAATCCACTCCTCCACTCTTAAGAATTGGAAGCAGCAGGCTTTCCTACTTAAACCTGACCTTGCTAAGGCTTTCGATCGCCTAGAATAGAACTTCATTGCTACAGCCCTGCGGCGGCTCGGGCTTCAAAGTCACTTCATTCACCTTATTCATGCCTACATCTCTACTCCCACCTTCTCTATTCTCGCCAATGGTGAGCCCACTGATGCTTTCCCCTCTCAGCGCGGTATTCGACAGGGATGCCCCCTGTCGCCTTACCTCTTTGTGGTTGCCATCAATGAACTTTCCATTCTTTTACAACATGAATTGCATACTTCTAACCTCACGGGAGTCTCTCTTGGAACCGGCTGCCCTCCTATCCACTCTCTTCTTTTTGCAGATGATCTCATTCTCTGTGGATCTGCAAAGGAGCAGGAAGCTACCATCATTCGTACTATACTTCAGGAATTTTGCCATCGGTCTGGCCAGGTACCCAACCTACAGAAGTCATCGATTATGTTTAGTAGGAATGTCAACAACACTATTATAGCTACAATTAAGAAAATCTTTCCTGTACCTGACCTTCTACCTAATACTATGCACCTTGGTCATCCAATCATTTTCAATCACAACGATAGAAACAAAGCTTATGAATTTATTATTAACAAGTTCAAGGCTAAGCTTACCACTGTCAAGGCTAATAAGCCTAATCATGTTAGTAGACTCACATACATTCAGTCTGTTCTTTCCTCTTTCTCTATGTACTATATGTCAACTGTTTTTTCTAAGACTTTTATCCACAGAATCAATGCTATCATCAGAAGATTTTGGTGGACAGGAGTTCAGGAAGACAACCCTACATCCCCTATTGCTTTCCGATCTTGGGAAGATATTTCCCAAACTAAGGACAACGGTGGCCTAGGCATTAGGGACCTTACACTGTTAATAAAAGTCTTCTCACCCAAGCCGCTTGAAATATTGTTACTAACAAGAATCCTCTCCTCTCCTATGTGCTTAAAGCCAAGTATTACCATAACGTTTCATTTTGGACTGCCAAAACAAATGGACCTCGCTCGGTTTTCTGGTCTTCTGTTTTGCAGGTCAAAAAGGAACTATGCGCCAATTCTACTTACCTACTTCATGGAGGTAATACCTCCATTTGGTCAGCCCCTTGGTGCCCTCTTTGGAAATCTATTCACAACCACATGCACTTGCCGGTTACTACTCTACCTCTACCTGCAACTGTCTCCCAATTTTGGAATCCTGACTCTAGATCCTGGAATGTTGATTTTATTGCAAATATTTTTTATGATCAGGCTCTCCAGGCCGTCACCAATATTAACCTTGTCGATAGTGAACAGCAGGACACACTAAGATGTATTCCATCAAAGAATGGACAATGCACTACTAAATCTATTTACAGGCATCTCAGCTCCCAGTTAGTCGTCCAGCTTCCATAACAAGGTTCTAGGAGTATACGACCACACGCAAATCAGATACTACAGAGGGTGTGGAAAAGCAATGAATTATCGCCGTTGATCAAAACCTTCACCTGGCGTCTAATACGCAGGGCACTTGCCACAGTTGAAAGAGCAGCAAGGTACTCCACTAATATTGACAAACATTGTGCAGCTTGTGGAGCAGTGGAAGATGACGTGCACCTCTTCTTCCATTGTCATCTTCCTCGTGCGGTATGGTTTTCTTCCGATCCACGTCTTCGAACTGATAATCTTCCTTAGGAGGAAGATGGTGTTCAACTCATCCGTCAGGCAATCATTTCTTGCTCCACCCCTGTCGGTGTTTTAGACCGGGGGTCCTCTACCAACTAGTGAATTTGAACTGCGTGCCCCTAATCCCGGATGGTGATGCAAAGAGACACAAGGTTTATACTGGTTCAGGCAATCGATGC